TGATGGGGGACAAGGGTGATTTTGAGGTTGATAACATCGAGCTTCTCTTCAAGTGTTATAGCCTTTCTTTTACGATCATCACCGGGAATGCGATCACCAGAACGCTTCTTGGAGATATTCTTCTTTACCATATTCACAGTTAATACCACAAAATTGGAGAAATACTAAGCAAAAATCGCGTTACAGCAAACAAGCGTTCGTGTTTTACAAATATCGTTCCTCTATTCATAAATCGCGTTATAGCAGAACTCACTGTATGCATGAACATTATTGTTGCAATAAACATATGGTTTGCTTTTGGGTACTGTATATTTTAACTATTAGGCACTCACGAAATGAGAAACAATGTGAGAAATTAAGTTAAAATATGGCAAAAACTTCCCGGGTAGGTTTTTCCCTGGACCCCCCAGCTACTTTTTTTTTTTTCAAGACCCCAGTCACATCCTTGAGCACTGTAGTTGGCAAGAGGCATGGAAGGTAATGCAGGGGAATGGTAGGTGATGCATGGGAATAGTAAGTGATGCATGGGAATAGTAAGTGATGCATGGGAATAGTAAGTGATGCAGGTGATGGAAGGGAATTGCTATAAGTCTGCACGGAAAGTTAGTTCGTCTGCTGAAAAATATGCATATTTACAGTTATGTTATATAAATAAAGTCAACTAACACTTACCACTTCAATTAATACTTTGTAATGTTCCCTTTGCTCTTCAGGCAGTCCTTTAAGGTTTTGCAAGAGGTCAGGTGGCAGGTTAGCCCAGATATCCTTGATAGCTGCCTCTAGCTTCGGGATTGATGATGTGTCAGCGTTGCGCAGACGACGCTTAACAATGGACCAAAAATTTTCTATTGGGTTGAGATCTGGGCTACTGCCAGGCCAGTCATTAACGAAAGGTACCTCAGTCTTTGAGCCACTGTATGACACTTTTAGCAGTGTGGCATGGGGCACCGTCCTGCATGAAAAGGCTTGCCTTAGCTTTATCAAATGATTCAGGTAAGAAATCACTGAGCAGCTAAAGATAGTTGTATTGATTCATCATCTGGTTCTTAGGGAGGATTACTAGTTCACCAACACCATAATACGTAAAGGAAGCCTAAACCATAAGCGAGGCAGGGTGCTTAACAGTCTTCACTGTGTACTGTGGGAGATGTGCATCCGAGTGAGGCGGGCGGTATACCCTCCCTCCACCACTGCCAGTCACAGAAAACGTTGCCTCATCTGACCACAAAACACTCCTCCATGACTCTAAATCCCACACTCCATATTTCTTGTAGAATTTCACTCTATTTTCTTTCTGTCGCTTTGTCAGTAGAGGTTTATGACGGGCACGGAAGCTGTTAAATCCAAGGTCTTCATGTAAGGATTGCCGAACACTGCGTAAGATGTGGCTGAGAAGACGGGGGTTTCTCTCTTGCTGTGAGGGCGGGATTGGACTTAACTTGGTGTGAAATAACCTTAAGTGTCCGTGGAGACAATAATTTAGGCCTACAGTAGGCTCTCACCAATAACATTTAATAGGTGCCTGAAAAACACCGTTATTCGCGAAAACGTTATTTGTGTGACATTAAAATACATGTAAAAACGGTTTATTGGTGCTGCCGCCACAAGAATTTCACCCATTTTTTCCCCTTGAAGCCCTCCTAATACTTTTTGTTAGCTGAAATAAAAAGAATTGCTATTCAATCATCAAAATAAAGAGTTTGAGTAATATAACACTTAGTTTTTGAGGTGCTTGGTGTGATGATTGTTCCGTATCTGAGGGCCGCTAACACTTGCACTGTCTTTCATTCTACAAGCTAACCATTTCACAAGAAAATGCTCTGTTATCACTAACAATCTGTTTCTATCGCCTTTATCATTCATAGCTCGCCTCGCATTTCCATCACTACCGAAATATTTTTAGCCAGCACAGTACTCTTCTTGGTCTCCTCTAAGTTCCTCTTAATATTTCGCACTATAGACTCAGGACAGTTCAATTTCCTCACTTTAAAAGTTCCCAGTCATTCAGGTGGCAAATCACTCCCTCCACCACCTACCCTAGCCCCCACAGGCAAAAATGCGGAAGCCATTATTGATCACCGACCCTAACAACCACTAGTTATAGTGGCGAAAATCTCACACGTGGGCGCAGCGCTGTATTCCACTGAGCGTGTGTGACAATGAGAGTGAGGCGGAGTGGACAACTACGTCATCAACGTGGCGGCAACCAAATGCTATCATTGATGCGCTCGGACACTTCCCGAAAAATTTCCGTTATTCAAGAGAATCCAGACGTTATTATCGAAAATGGTTATCTATTGTAACTTACCAATATTGTCGAAAACGTTATTGTGGAAGTCGTTATTGGCGAGAGCCTACTGTACCAGACTTGGGTAGGGTAGCCGGCAACACATCCTCTCCAAGCTCATGGTAACGCTTCACAAGTTTCTGCACAATATGCAACCCCACACCAGTCTGAGCGGAAATATCTCTCATTTCATGGTTTGCTTTGTACAATGCAATCACTGGTGTAATGTCGTCTCGTGTAGTAACCCTCCTGGACTTCTCTGATGGCCACTATGTCAGGGTAATGCAACGTAAACGAGGCAAAAAATGGCCACGTGGCATGCAGACCCGCAGAGTTAATCTTCCCCTCGCGATTGCCAGAGGCGCACTGAGAGGAAGCCGTGACATGTGCTCAATTGCCAAGTGACACCACTTGCCAACCAACCAAGCATTCTAACATCTCGCATCCCTCAGCCTTCACAACATGAGAACTTATTTACGCATTAACTTTGTTCGTCGGCCCTATTGTGACCAAACTTTCCGCGCAGACTGTAAACAGTAAACAGTGCTTCTCTTATTTATACTACAGTACTATAATTTGGTCATTTATGCAAAATAAAGATTAAATTTTAACAAAAATAAATGTTTTCTCTTTGTATAATTCAAGTTTGAGTATGTGAATACATGTAACTTATATCACTAAGGGTATTATAGTTCACCCGAGTAAAACTATTTTCTTTGTTACAGAGCAAAAGAGTAAAAATTAAGATACTCTAATGTGGCTTAGAAATAAAGAAATTATAATATACTGTAAAACTATAAAAGAAGAAAAATGAAGATCATAGTTGTGTGTGTGTGTGGGAGGTAAACAAATGTGAAGACAGTGAGCTGTGCTGCGTGGCTGACTAACCCGCCTCCCTCCCTCTCATGTGACGTCATGGCAGACACACACACGCACACTCATATCTCAGTCAGCTGGTTGACTGCCTCGCTGAACTGTGGCATCACTTAGATGATGGTTTGAGTGTGGAAGGAGGTATTTTTTGTACATAAAAATGTGCTATTGTATTTTATGATATGCTCTGTATCAATTTTACTGTTTATCATCTCAATTTTTGTTTAAAAGGTGGTTATAGCGCTACTGGTGTCAGACACATGAATTGACTTCAAGTGGCTTTTGGATTGTTGGACTAAACAAGAATTTTTACCAAAGGGGACAAAGATGGGATACCTGGAATATTCAGATAAGTTAGAATTCGGATAAAATGAATTGCACTGTAAGTTAAATAAAGTCTATAAAATTGGATTTACCGTAATAGTGGAGACATTCTGCATACGATACAGGGGCTGGCTTGACATGAATGGGGGAGGTTGTTGGGTGTTAATGGGCTAGTACCGCAGGAGCCAAATTTTACCGGGAAGTACTGAATATTAATTCTGGTGCCCTAGATACTCTGTGGTGCAATGTATAGTACAGTGAACCCTCACTTTACGCGGTCAATTGAACCCATGGAGGCCCGCGTAAAGCGAGAAACGCGTAAAGTGAACAACATAACATATGGGATTAAATGAAATAGAGACCGGCTGACCCCCAAACTCCACTTTTTCCTACACAATACCTATGTTCTAGTAAAAATAACATCTTAATTTTATGATGGTACATGCACACAATTAATACTTAAGAGAAATAGAGAAATACAGTCGCCAAGTTAATGTCCATTCAAATAATGGACTCAACTCCCTCCCCCTCTTCTCACACTCCTGGCTCTTCCCTCTGAGAAATGTTTGGGGGAAAAACCACTAGATTTTAAGGTATAGTAATAAATAATACCTCAAACTAAAGTTAGGATAATATAATTGACATTGCTGGATTCCTTGTAAGACCAGGAATATTTTGAATATAAATGTCATATATTTTGCACAAAAGATAACATATTTACTCAGAGTAAACAAAATACTTAGAGTAGATCTAAAATTTGTATGTCTAATGCAAAATCTATGATGTTTATATTCAAAATGATCACCAAATTGTAAGAATTCCAGCAATGTAAATTATATTCTGGCCGGGTAATTTGTATGAATTTTATGAGCTAAAACAAATATCTTCAGTTTATAAAAAAAAAATATTTTCTTCACACACTATCTGTCAATCAAAGTACCCCACCTTGCCTCCCCCCACTTCCAACCGCGCCAGATGGTCGGTCAGTCCCTCCCTCCCTACCAGAGAAATGTGTGGGAGAAACCAGAATACTTACCTTTTTAGTAATAAATAATACCTCAGACTAAAGTTAGGATAATATAATTGACATTGCTGGATTCCTTGCAAGACCAGGAATATTTTGAATATACACTTCATATATTTTGCACAAAAGATAACATATTTGCTCTGAGTAAACAAAATACTTGCATTAGATCTAAAATTTGTATGTCTAATGCAAAATCTATGATGCTTATATTCAAAATGATCATCAAATTGTAAGAATTCCAGCAATGTAAATTATATTCTGGCCGGATAATTTGTATGAATTTTATGAGCTGGATAAAAAAATTATACTTCACCCGCGTATATGAGTAGATGCACCGCGTAAAGTGGGAATTCCGGTTCTGGCAGGGTACCGCGTAAATGTAGAAACGCGTAAAGTGAAACCGCGAGGGTTCACTGTACTTTACTTGCAAAGATAATTTTCATTGAAGTAAATTTTTTGTAATACCAAACTAATAAAGATTTCTTTTAGGGTGGGAAAGAAGGTTGTAAGGAAGTCGTAGGCCGCCTCTCTCAACTAAAAAATGAAATTCAGACGAATAAACCTTTGCTACTTCTCCAAACTCACCCAGATCCATCCAGTCTGTTTGGTAAGATAGATTTCCTAATTACATACTGTACTGTATTTCTGTATATGTATTTGCCATTATTCCAGTATGAGTGGTAATGTGGATGGTGCTGCTTCTTATCATATAAACATGTGATCAACTCAGAAAGTGGAGGATATCATTTTATGTTATTTCAATGCGCTGATGCAAACCAAAACTACAAGTTCAAGTATACATATACAGTACTGTAAGCACACATCCAATGGTGTTAAAATGATTACAGCACATGAGCACATCTCAGACTCATTGTATGTTATTACTGGTACAATATACACTGCAGTATTATAAACTCACAAGTTTGCACATCTTTGGGACAGAGCATTTAGCAAGCATGTGAATTTTGTAAACTAAAGTGTGACTTACAAGATGGGGCAATGCACCTGTAGGACCATGAACTCATATCTAAGGTACTGTACATACAATATTTATGTTTGGACCCAAAACACAAATGACGTACTGTACATAAAAGGTACCTGTACCACAGACCTTAAGAGCCCAAGTTATACATAAAAACAAAGTTAGAAATGAAAGAGAAGCACATAGCTTGGTAGGGGTGGGCCAAGACAAATACAGCTCCTCCCCGACTTACCACCTACTCGACTTACGACCACCCGCATTTACGACCTGCCTCAGTCGTACCAAAATTTTGTCCAATTACGTATTTTCGAGTCCCCATGACAGTGTACTGACAAAGTTTTTGTTTGTAATTCACTTTAAAATGGCTGGCAAGCTTAAAAGTGTGTGTTTTGTGATGCTGAGAAGAAAAGAGACACCCATTTTAAATTTTCTATGTATTATTTAAGCATTTTCGACTTACGACCATTTCAACTTACGACTTGGATTTGGGTTTCTAACCCCGTCGTAAGTCGGGGAAGAGCTGTACTATATTGTACAGTATACTGTACAACTAAGTTCCAGCATGAGGTAGAATGGGAACAAAAAAGAAGAACATAAACCCTAGCTAAAGCACTGCTGCCAGTAAAAAACAAAGATAAAATGTAAAGCTGATTGGTGTTTGGCTTAACTTTCATCTCTTACTTTTTAAATTCTCTGACTCATGCCTCAGCCTTTCACACTATTCAGTAAACTTCAAGCAGTGACCCATTTAATCTAACTTTGCCTATTCTAAATTTAATTGCCATAAAAGGAGGATGAGATTATGTATGTTGGTGATGTGTGTGTGAGTTGGTGGCTTAGGTGACATGGGAGTCAGACATTCTCCATTGCATTGCATTCTGTTTCATTAAATTTGGTTTGGAAAATAAAGTACCTCTTTTTGGCTCATAAGTTTATGTACTGTATCATCAAGTTAAATTTTGCTCAGAAGGTGGCAGCTGCACAAAAAATGTAAAAAAAAAATTTAAAAATTCTGCTTTTTTAAATCTTCTGCTGTTGCTGTGTTAACTGTCTTATCAAGTGCCTAGAGTGTTTATCATTTGATGTGTTTTTAGTTTTTCATTTTATTAATTTTCTTGGTTATCTGGTGCAAATATGTTTGATATGTTTGTTTCCTCTTACTCACAAAATGTGGTAATTGCATAGTTGTGGCACATCAGCTGCTGCCACTGTTGTCTCATCCCTCAATCATGGCTTAGTGGCTGGATGGAACAGAAGTACAGGACCTGTACTGTATTCTCTGCCGCTGCTTCACACTGGGCATTTTTATTTATTTATTTCATTTTGTAGAGTATTTATTTTATTTTTATTTTATTTTATTTTATTTTTTTCTCTTCTCACCACTTATCAGCTTACTAGCCATTCGGGTGGTTGGTCTATCCAATATTAGTACAGGAGGAATCTGGAGTATGGGAAATCTGTGTTACAGTATTTGGCACGGTCACACTGAATAACACCCTTCTCACATGTGTCCGAGCCAAGCAGGACTTGAGTCCCTTGACACATTGGTGAGAGATACATATACAGTATTACCGCTGTTTTCAATGGTAGATTTTAGCAGTGTATGCTCTCCCCAAAATGTATTGGCCCCTTTTCTCATCGATACAATGTGTCGCAAGGGACCAATATTTCCGATCACTAATTGTGATTCCTGCATTATATTGGTAGGTCTGCCTTCCAAGTATTTTTGAGGTTGCCAGTTATTATTTCTGACAGTTGTTGTAGGTAATTATGGTGAATCACTGTGCTCCATCTTTAGTAGATTAATATAATGATATTAATGTAGCGAAAATATATCAACAGCAGTCAAATAGCGGGTGTTTTCTGCTGGAAATCCAGGACCAACACTAGTATCTGAGACTCATTGGAAAACACAGCTTGCGCCTACAGACATGGAGAAATGTCACTTTCCGAATAACAGTACAGTGATATCCCCATTAGCCGGAACAATTGGTGCAAAGCACTTCCGGGAATGAGAGATTTCCAGGTAACGAGACGCCTCCCTCAAAGCCGGAAAAAATCCCTCATCCCTGGAATTTTCCGGGTAACGGAAAAATGTTCTTGGAAGTTCCTGAAATTGCTCATTACATCATCTCTCGAACCCGGAAAAATATCCCCCATCCCCAGAATTTCCCAGGTATCGGGGAAATTTTCTCTGAATTTTTCGGAAAATGTGCCCCTCGAAAAATCGTTCCCAAAGCCGGAATTTTCTGAGAAATTTCGAATTTGGGAAAGATTTTCCGAGAAAATTTCAATTCCAGCTATCGGAGAGTTCCGGGTTTGAGGGATTTCAGCTAACGGAGATATTGATGTACTGTATAGCTATAAATCAATGTTTGTTAGCTATCTCCTTGTTGCTTAGGCCTATGTCATGAAGGGCGATGATACTGCCACGTGTTGCCTGTAATGTCTCTATAGTTACTGTCAGTCCCATTGGAGGACTTGACAACATCGTCTCGTAGTGTGTACCAAATAATGTTCCGTTGCCAGCATGAATCATGAGATTATACGTTATATAGTGGTCCCTCGGTTAACGAACACAATTCGTTCCAGAAGGTCATTCGTTAACCGAAACCATTGTTTCAATGGGATTTTGGGTAATTGGTTCCAGCTCACCGAAAATTACTTACAAACTAAAAATAAATGCAGTAAAGTACACTTACTTTAAGGTGTGCATGTAGAAGGCTCCTGGTTGATGATGATGATGATTGGAATTAGAAGTGGGGGTGGAGGAGAAGGGAGAAGAGAAGGAAGTGGGGGTGGAAGAGAAATCACCCCATGCTTCATGCCGCCATTTCACCCATAAAATTTTAAGTTCACTTGGTGTAATTCAAGATTATTTTCCTTAAATCAACACTGCACTGCACTATATATTGTCAATATGTAAAATATATTTCAGAATGACCAATAATTGTACTGTAAAAATGTAAAAATAGTTTATGTTCAAGAGAGTCTCAAGCAAGATGTTACCTCCACTGAGCAGAGACACAAACTGACGCCTGCTGGGTGAGTCAAGTGGCTGTTTGGCGCGCTAAAAACTAGTTTCCTGTACTTCAATTATGTTCAATAATTGTTAAAATGACTGAAAATTTTAATATAAAACTTTTAAAATTATTGAATAGTACAACCTTCTTGATATTTACTCAAAGGAGAACGAATTTAAGCCCTTGAACCGATTGCTGTATTGGCGGACTAATATTCAGCTGGTGAGCAAGCGAAAACATGCTGAGAAGAATTTGTAAGGAATTCATTAACCGAATTTTTTTCGTTAACCGAATAGAATATTCTTATGGAAGGTAATTCGTTAACCGAAATTTCGTTAACCGAGGCGTTCGTTAACCGAGGGACCACTGTACAGTCCTTAAATAATTTAAGACATGTATCTGGTGTGGGTTACGTATGCTGGGGAAGGAGGTACAGTGAGATGTTGTGAACTTCCCTCTGCCGTTAAGCCATTATTTACGTCTGCAAATTTGCTGTAAGTTTATGATTGTGATAATTTGGCTTGTTTTTAATTATTTTATTATGAGTAATATTATTAGTAAAAATTTTTGTGCTGAGTGGAGTACTGCTCGTCCCAGACTACTTAGCTAGGCACCTCCGCTTACGGCGCTCGGCCTCCCATCCGTAATACGGGCACATTAGACGCAGGGTAACTTGGGATACATTGAAAAAACATAAAAAAATGCCTCTTATACAGCGACAAATACGGTACTTTAAACAATAAGACACATTATCTCTAGAGGATTTCTGTCGCAAAACATTTTTCGATCACATAGGAAAATACAGGTCATAGGTTAGGTTAGGTTAGGTTATGAGTTATATTATAAGTTATAAGATTAGCTTAACATACACCAGTAAAAATTGGGGGGGGGTAGTAACTCAAAACTAGTGATTTCTGTTAGAAATGAAGGTCAAAATCGTTCATAACACATCGCAAACCATCAGAAAGAACATAAGTCTGCATATCTAAGTACAGGGATGACCAAAACTTAAAATTTACATAATAGCCTATGGCTTATCTCGAATCTAAACATCCAAACAATTATGGTAGTTTAAAGTACAATTTTACCCTTTAATTAATATAAATGATGATATATCCCAATACATTCTCAAGTCCAGACAATGTCATTACTTTTAACTTGACTCGTATCTCCATCTAGTACTGATATACTCTGTAAATGCACTGGAAAAAAAGAGAAAGTCTACCAGGTAAGAATACATGACAGCTGAGCTGGTGTGAACATGGGCGTTTTTTATGTCCAAAAGCTGCTCTTCGTGGCACATTACTTCACTAATGAAATATCCATGACATAGGCCATAATAAAAAAACCACCCTTAAAACTTACCTGAACATGGCATTTGGGGTCTGAAGAGGCCATCCTTTGTACTACCTCCGACTGCAGTGGTGAGTTTGTTGGAGAACGTCTTCTGCGGGGAAACTGGTGATGTCATTGCAAATGGCGGCTCTGTTTCTAGAGGAATAAACTTATCTCGACTATTATAGCAGAACTTTAAACTTTTTTACAAATTAAATATACCGTATCACTCTACGAACGTGGCAGAGTGCATTTCTTGTGTTTACTCAGAACCGACAACTCATCCATTCCTAGATACTTTTCTTTATCTACAGTGTTAAGTAAAGTGTTATTAACAGATTAGTTGTGATTAGGGTTGTTGTATCCTACGTGTAGGGTCTTGCATTTAGTTATGTTAAAGAGCATTTGCCAGTCTTGAAACCTTTTGAATAACCCTGCAGATCATCTGTATTGTTGCAACATCATCTTCACTTGCTACTTTCTCAAATATCTTGGTGTTGCCTGCAAACTTGACAATGTGGCTCGATATACAATATTTTCTTGTGTCATTTATGTAGGTCACAAACAGTGGGTCAAAGGGTAGGGCCTTGTGGGACTCCACTGAGAACCTTTTCCCATTCAGAATGTGTGTCATTTATTACCACTGTCTGTTGCCTGTCTTCAGCCAGTTGTTAATCCACTTCAAAATCTTGCCAGTGATACCATGAGCTTGGATTTTAGAGGCTATCATGTACATGGGACTTAGTCAAACACCTTGGAGAAATCCATATACAGTACAACACATCTGTTACTGTTTCAAGGAACGTAATTTTGCCAGACACAATTTTCTTTCCATGAAACCATGTTCTGATGCTTTGATAAGACTGTACTGGTTCAGGTGTTGGATGATGTCATCCCTTAGAATTTTCTTAAAGAGTTTGCATATATGGAATGTTAGGCTGATATGCTTGTAGTTTTCTGCTGCACTTTTTCTACCCTTCTGTATACTGGGGTGACATTGGCTGATTTCTAGTCGCTATTTGCTTGTCCTTGATCTAAGGATTTCCAGAATAAGAGTCTTAGTGAAGTGTAAATCTTGTATGTCACCTCGTCTATCACCTTAGTCTGTACTTTGTCCGCTCCAGGGGCTTTGAATTCTTTCAAGTTGACTTCATTCCTTTTGATGATATCTCCTGTAATTGCTTTTTCTCAATTTATTTTCTACCCCTGAGGTATACATTCTCTTAGATACTGACATGTTATCCAATGTCTGTTGTGTGAATACTGATGCAAAGTACAGTATTCAATTAAAGTAACAGCTCTATGTCTGTCATCTTCCAGGTCCATGTTGTTTTTGTTCTTTAGAGGGCCGAGAGTATCCTTGGTTTTAATTGTACTCCTGGCATGTGCATTAAAGGATTTGGGATCTTTCTTAACATTTCGTGTTAATATCATCTCGAAATGCTGTTTGGCTAATCTGATTTCCTGATTTAAGGCTTTTTTGTAAACTACATGATCTGCAGGATGCCCTGTACTTTGGTATTTCTTTCACATTTGGTGTTTTCTTTTGCAAGCTTTCCTAGATATGTGTTTCAGCCACCTGGTCTTGTTTCTTCCTTGCTTTATGGGGGTATACATTCCTCTACTGTTCTCAAGGATTTCCATGAAGTCTTGCTTTGATTCATTTATGTCTGCCTCTTTTCTAATGATTTTCTCACAGGTAATTCTTTGTAATTTAATTGTCTCTCATGAGCTAGTAATCCCTTTGTTGAAGTCATAGTTTTATTCCTCATTTACCTTCTCTCAACTATCAAAGATTATATTCCATCTTACTATGTAGTGGTTGCTTATCGGAGTTAGTCTCTACCCGACGTGGACCTCGTCCTTAGTCGTGAAGTCTAAATCTATAATATTAAAATATTATATCCTCTTGTGGATTACACATGTTGTGTGAGGAATGAGTCTTGACTGAGATCAAGGAATTCTTCTCCCTTGACTTGTGTGGTTAGATTCACTCAGTCTAATGTTTCATGATTAAATCTCTCAAGATGAGGGCTTGTGCTATGGATGCTGTCCGGATGACTCTACAGAGATCTACTATTTCCTCCTCTGAGGCTGAGTCACCCATATAGGACACACCTAATGTCAGCTTGCTTTTGTTTTCAGCTATTAAATCACACTAAATAAACTCGAATGATCCCATTTTTTTAGCTCGTCATTAATCAGGTGTTTTTTGACATACAGTAGTACTGTACACCACTACCACATGTGGCCCTGTCTTTTCTGAACGGGGAGTAAATAAAATTCTCCTCTGACTAGCTAATTCCAATGAGGTCTGGTTGAGGGAGAATATAACACACAAGCTTCTCAATAAATCATCCACCACCACAACTTACAGGGTATATAATTCTTTTACGTATTATTGAAGTAATTAAATGTTTCTTGTTTAAAGAGATAAAAGTGGTAATAATGGTTGTAGATGCATGTGTTGGCCGGCTCATGTGTAGTGGTTGTGGTGGTGGTTGGTGGTCAGTTGATGAAAGGTTTGAGGTGGAGATTATGCATAAACGTTTCCTCTGTACAGTATTAAATTTATCAGGTAATTTTTGTCCATCTTTATCCCTTAATGTGCAGCCGTGTACGGTACTGTATATGTCATCACTCACCCCAAATGTAAAAATTAAAAAATTTAATAAATTCAATACCTTTTCATGATTTACAAACATTTAAAATAAATAATAAAATGGCAAAAGGACAGAATGGAATGTGACAGGAAAAAATAATTTGTTCACCTTCCCAGCTGTCTGGATTTTTTATTTATTTGTTCTTTTTTTTTATTTTTTTTTATTTATTTTTTTTTTTTTTCTCCTTTCTTTCTTAGCACCATTCATATGTTATCCCCAACATGCAAGGGGAGAGTGGAGTGTAAAGTGATAGCTGGCATGGTGTGGTGACTCATCACATGCTTACTATGTGATAACTTATTTACTGTACAGTATTTACTTCACTAAATTACTTATTTACAAACCTTTACTGACTTACTTTATACCTCTACTGGTATACCACATATTTCAAACAGTTTATTAAAAAAAAATAAGTACCTGTATGTTCTCATTCTAACTTACTTAGTTACAGTGTAATGTGTAGTGTAGTGTAGTGTAGTGTAGTGTAGTGTAGTGTAGTGTAGTGTAGTGTGTTGTGTAGCCAGTGAATGGAGGCAAAGTGCTAGTTTCTGTCAAATTTACCGCCAGATATTCAAGTGTGCACAAACATTAAAAAGACAACTGTGAAATTGTGCTGTTTATATATGTTGGCCACAGACACCATTATAAACGTTTACATACGTTGGCCTCATGCTAGGGGTTAAGTGTTTTGGTAGTGTGAATTCAGCATATTTTTCATTTTGCCTTTTATTATTCAATATATTATACATTTATTAAATATTATTGTCTCATTACTTGTTAATGTATTAATTATATTTACCATTATGTGTGTCAAATTTGTATCCAAAGAAATCCATAATGTTACTGACATTAGGCTAAGTGTAGCTTAGGCCTATATACCATAAATTATTGACCTTCTATTTAATGAGAATTTCCATCATTTAGCATGACACTGGTCCCAATATTGCCAGCCAAGAGGGTCACCTGTACTTGACAGTTTAATTAGAGGGAGTTGGAACAGTGTGTAATTCTATACCTATTAATTATCATGGGATGGTTTTGATATAACTTAATTTCTATTGTAGGTTGTCTTTACAGATGACACTGATTTGTGGAACCGACAGTTTGAGAAGTACATAAGTGTTTATGGGATGCCACCCAAATGGTTCACTGCTCCTTGGTTATATGTGGAATGCTACATGTATGCACGCATCCATGAAGCCTTCTACCTTTGGTAAAGTTACAGTACTCTTTGAAAGTGTTGTGATATAAGGAATATATTTTATGTAAGAAATATGACTTGTATCAATTGATTGTTGAGACTAAAATAATTTTAAACCAGTGTTTCAAGTCCATTAGAATGCTCAGTAATGCAATGTTGGTTCACCAAAATGACCCAGCTGAGCACGGACGCATCCCTTCTGTTTGAATTTCAAGCAAACACAATAATATTGCTGTCACATCTGTTGTTTCTCTGGTCTTTAAATTAATTAGTTTATAGTACTTTGTTTCATTCAACAAACTGTTTTATAAGAAGACGCAATGCAGCTGAGTTTGTTGATTTATGGTGTTTGTTCAGATTTTTGTACCATCTCATTATAAAAACAGTTTTATAAATTGTAACTGTATATCTGGCCAGAGCCCCTTCACTATTCTGTTCGCTCAGTTTATTCACAGACCATTCATCTATACAGTACCAGGAGACCAAACATTAATGGCTGGGACTAATTTTTAGTTAGTTTACCCTTTACTTAAACTATCACCCTCAAAGGGAGAGTAGAAGCCAAAGTTTTTCCCTCTACAGGTTGACAACCCTTTATCCGAAATTCCAAAAACCGAAAAGCTCTAAAAACCAAGTTTTTTTTTGTGGGGCCTTTTTTTTTTTCTTTTTTTTTTTTTCTTTTTCTTAACAGGGATTAGCCCACCCGGGCATAGATCACTGACCCACATCAGGGCCTGGGGGGCGAAAATGTAATAGTAATAATAATTATAATAATAATAATTATTCATAGTAAATAAAAATTTTAATAAAAATACACCAAAATAAAATAATAATGATAACAATAATAAAAATAATAATAATAATAATAATAATAATAATAATAATAATAATAATAATAATAATAAAATATAATAATAAAATTAATAATAATAACAATAATACTGTAATAATAAAATAATAATAATAATAATAATACAGTTGACCCTCGTTAATTCGGACTAATAGGGGGAAAGGGTGTCCGTTTTAGCTGATTGTCCGAATTAATCGATTTAGGGGTTAATATTGCATTATATTTCAAAGTCATTGTTTTCGTCACAATTTTATCCCGCTTTCCACTGTAATACGTATGTAATTTCAGCAAAAATATTACATTTCCTTGAATGTATTATATCAAGCACAGTATGAATAGAATATCATTGTAATATAACAGTATTTTAACCGAAAACTATTAAAAAAACGAGTAACATCTCAAGAACAGAAGCTTAGGTAAAGTCTTTTGTTTTCGTCATGTATTTTATCCTATTTTACATTGAAATACATCACGTTTCAGCAAACTACTATTTATTTCCTAGAATATATTCATTCAGGCGCAGTTTAGGTAAAATATACGTGTGATGTAACAGTTTTTTTACTGAAAACGATTCGAAAAACACGTACCCTCTAGCCCTGTTCAAGGAGAGGACTAGGAGAAGCTGTTTGGTGCTGCAGACGATGACAAGGAAAATGATTTGGATGGATTTTAATGAAAATATTCAGAAATATGGTGTCGTAGTATTTATTCAAATCAATTAGGATAGAATATTATTGTAATACAACAGTTTTTTAACTGAAAAACAATCGAAAAGCGATTACGGTAACATCTTTTGAATGAAAGAAAGCGAAAGTCATTGTTTTCGTCACGATTTTATCCCACTTTCCACTGTAATACGTACGTCACTTCAGCAAAAATATTACATTTCCGTGAATGCATTATATCAAGCACAGTATGAATAGAATATCATTGTAATATAACAGTATTTTAACCAAAAACTATTAAAAAAACGAGTAACTTCTCTTGAACATCGGAAGGTTAGGTAAAATCTTTTGTTTTCGTCATGTATTTTATCCTATTTTACATTAAAATACATCACGTTTCAGCAAAACTACTATTTATTTCCGAGAATATATTCATTCAGGCGCAGTTTAGGTTAAATATACGTGTGATGTAACAGTTTTTTAACTGAAAACGATTCGAAAAACACGTATACCGTCTAGCTGATACTCAACAGCTGGTGGTGCGTCATGCGTCGTTGTAAACAATGGGAGGTTGAAGTAGATTACCGGGTATTATATTAAGTGTGAAATATCGAAAAGGTTTTTATTACCGGTATTTTTTGTACATCAATGAGAACTGTGATACCGTATATGATATGATAAGTTAGCCTGTGCTAAGAACTTCAACATAGACTACTGAAAGCACGTTGTAAGGTAATTTAGCCTATTTTAAGTTGGTGAACTTCATTTGCTGAAGGAACTGCACAACTTTTCATTACTAATTGGTACATATTTTACGTTTCCATTGTTTACTGGCAGTAAATGGTAAATATTTTTCATGTCTGAAGCTAAAAGTTGCATCCCCCCCCCACATTAGTGGTGGAGATGTTACATTTAACCAAAAAGACGCTGGTGTTTTATCCCAGCAGTGGGTGGACCATCATTTTAGTTTAAGGTCCGCGTAGGTAATATTCCTACAAATCTATTAAAAAAAAAAAAATATCAGAGTTTATTCGAAATCCGGATTAAAGGGGTCCGAATTAACGAGGGTCGGCTGTAATAAAGAATTATAACAATGAAAAAAAGATCAAAAGTGAGAAACACGACCTAGACCTATGAATTATTATAATGATTATAATTTTTATTATATTTTCGCCCCCCAGGCTCTGATGTGGGTCAGTGATCTATGCCCGGGTGAGCTAAAAAAAAAAAAAAAAAAATTAAAAACTAACCATTCTGAAAACCGAAAAATTCCGAAATCCGAAATGCCCCTGGCCCCAAGGATTTTGGATAAGGGATTGTCAACCTGTAGTAGATCAGAGGAAGGACACCCAACAAGCACATGATGTTACTTCACTTGACGCAAGCCTCACCTTTCTTCTTGGGCTGACCATGATGGTTTTCAAACATTAACTAGAATAGACTGTTTGTTTGGCTTCTAATATCTTTTTAAGGACGAATAAGATATCCATACTGGAGTTGCAAAGGTCTCAGGAAATGGTCCAGCTGCTGTAACATCTTCCTTTGGTTCATTTTGTTTGGCAGTCACTTCAGTCCAGTTATTTCCATATAATTAGCAGGTAATGGTAGGACTTCAACAGACATCTGCCTTCTCCTGTTTCATGTCCTCAAATCGTAACTTATTGCAATATTGTGAATTTGTTAGGAGGAGTTTAGAATCACACTAAAAAATTGCTTGCTGCATCTGACCACACTGCAGTCCATACACCATAAAGGATTCATTCCCTGACATTATTCCATGAATTTTTTATGTTAATGATGGTAACCTTATGGTGAAGGAACACCAGATATTCTTCACTGACATTTCATTGTTGTCCTCTTTTGTCCTCTTTGCAACTTGAGAAATATTGTACAATATTAAATTTATTATACTTTACTATGTTTTGATGGTGGGATACATTAGAACAACATATGAAACATAAAATATACAGTAATTGACAAGTAATAGAAATTCTTTATTTTAGTAATCCACTACGGGAATTTGACCCCTTTGAGGAGCAGAAGAAGAAGAGTTTGATAGATTCACATGCAGCAACTGAATCTCTGGCTACACATGTATTATCTCTGTGTAGCAGGATTCCCACACTCACTGAGGAGCAGTTGAAGCAGAGTGTCACTCAGTTAATTGAGGTAAGAAATTCACCCTTCCCTTGTACATTTTATTATTATCCCTGGTCACTATGAAAGCATGGAATTACAGTACAGTATAACATGTGGCTTTTCATCCCTTCCTCTGCCTAGTGCCACAAGTTAAGAACTACAGGATCTAGTTTGATGAAATTTTACATAATATTCATTAGCAAAACTTAATATGTCACAAATATTTTTTGTGTGCACGTTCTTTGTCAAGGTCACCGCTAGAGATCAAAGGTCAGAATTGGGGATATAAACAATATGCTTTTGTCTGCATTGAAACATCTGGAACAGGAAATCATCATGAAACATCAGCACAGTCTGAAGCACCACTAGGTGATTTTTATCCTCTTTACCACTGATTGGCCTGTTAGCCACTTGGGTGATTGACCATGTCTCTGTTGTACACTGTTGACAAGTGCTTGGCATATACTGGCTCCAGGTTGTATCTGTACAGGTAGTTCTGCTATAACGCGATAATTGTGTTCTTGTAAAATATCGTGTTATAGAAAATCGCGTAATAGAAATAACAGGGCTGATGGAGAAAATAGGGTTAGGTGCAGATTACTCGAAATCGAAAAAATTTAGTAGTTAGCCTAACACAAAGGATAGCACAGTCTAAATAAATGTTACATTCATATCTAATAATGAAATCATACAGTAAATTTAACACTTTACCTTGAAAAAATATGAATGTAACTTGATGTGGGAGAAGGGTGATTTTGAGGTTGATAACATCAAGCTTCTCTTCAAGCGTTATATCCTTTCTTTTACGATAATCACCGGGAATTCTATCATCAGAATGCTTTTTGGAGATATTCTTCTTTACCATATTCACAGTTAATACCACAAAATTGGAGAAATAGTAAGCAAAAATCGCGTTATAGCAAACAAGCGATCGCGTTATACAAATATTGTTCCGAATTCATAAATCGCGTTAGAGCAAATTCGCGTTATCAAAACACGCGTTATAGCAGAACTCACTGTACCTTAGTCAGTTTTGGTCAAGTCTGGTCTTGAATGAGCTCACACTTGGTGCTGTCACAAATTGTTCCAAATCTCACTCCCCCCAAAAAAGAAATTTGTCCTGACATTTTTCTGAACTTCTGGCTTCTTCAAACATAAGCTGTGACCCCTGATATGTGTTTCAGCTAAAAAAAAAAAATCCCCAAATCCCCAGGGAATAAACTTAAAATGTAGTCCAGCCCAAAGAATTTTGACCTTTAAGACCTAAGTGAACAAGATTAAAAGTTCATTCATTGAAAGACCTAACTTAACAAGATTAAAAGTTCATTCATTGACTTTTCATAGCCTAAAACATTTAGTTTGTTAGACTGAATTCTTATTAATTTATTAATTGTTCAGCAGGAACTCTCTCTATGAACAAAACATTTTAGTCATCAGTGTTTAGTGTATAGATTTACAGAACTGTACTGTACTGTATTCAACACAAGTGTACACAAGTAAGCTCTAACACAGATTATAAAGGGGACAGAAATATATGTACACTATTAAAATTTTCCAAAAATACTGCACTGTAGATATAGTAATACAAAAAATACCAGAGTTGTAAAGTAACTAAATAAATTTACATTGGCACTGTACTATACCCTGTGCTCAAGTAATATTTTTTGGTATTTTCTTTTCGAAAGCTACTCAAATTTTTTTAGTGCTTTTACTTTTATTTAAGTATGCTTTTCTAATACTTTTACTCCAATACAATTGAAAAAGCAAAAATCGATACTTGTTACATGCAAAACTTAACAATATTTTTTAATTAATTAATTAATTCATTATTAACCATAGGAAAAGACTTATGTGAGTGGAGAGTATGGTGTGGAGAGACACCATGCTGTCACATACCTAGAGGTCTCGTGAGGTGAGGTGACGTCAAGTCAGGTCAGGTGGCAGTGGCTATGACAGCAGGCTTCCCTTTGATCTTCTTGTGTCCATTAGCACCTTGACCACCCACCTCACCTCACCTCACCTACCCTCTTAACACCCCCCCATCAAATTCTCTCTCTTCTCCTTCACCTTTCTTCCAGGGGCTTAGTCTTCCCATTAGACATCACTTGCTCTTTGCATATACCTGTATAGCATGTCCCCGTTGAACGAAATGGTTAAGTTCCACTAAAACGCTTTTGTTTGGTGGATTACGTTCATTGAAACCATTTTTCCCATATAAATTAATGTAATAAGGGGGATGTGTTCCTGTACTAAGCTCCGTGACAAAATAATTGCAGCGCATCAAAATACAGGGGGTACTGTAGATAAAAACAATAAAACATGTAAAACATAAAGGTACATATAGTGTTACTGTACTCACCAAATCCATGTCAGAAGCAACAGGTGTAGTGGTTGTTCCTCTCCTAGGCCAAAGGAACACGGTTACTTAAACTTTAGTTAGTTATTGCTAGGCGCAGGATCACTGAGCCCATCACCGTTTTCAAATTAGACTACAAGGTATGTATTTCTATCATACGTATGCCTGGCTACGCCTGGCAACGTATGCCTGGCAACGGGAGCGGGTAAGGGGAGTGAGTGGCCGCTAGTTGAGCGTGGTCTGCAGTTGTAACTCTCCTCGCTCCCTGCCATATTTCACTGGATTTACTGTTATTATTAGTATTTACTGATATAATAGTGCTTGATAGTGATTAGTCCTGGAATTGTAGCCAGGTTAGACTCATCGCTGTAACCACCAGGCTACAGGGCCAAGCTGTGAATTTTTATGGTTGTTTTTCATCTCGTTTATTTTGACTCGGTTACATGCACACACCATCCTACATACATATTGTGAAAAAAAGTAAAAGAAATAATTGTCTTAAGGGCAAACTCATAGACGGAATACATATTTCTTTGCACACGAGTTATCTGGCTCAGTGAGGGAGGGGAGGAGAGTGAAGAGTGTAGTGGGGGGGAGCCATTGCTAGGGAGATAGCGGAGGTAGAGTCCCAGCTGCTCTCTGTTACTATGGTGAAGCAGGGAATGTATGCAAATGGCGATTATGTTATACATTCATTTGTCTTTTATTTACGGGTTTAGCAATACTACAGTATTTTTTTTTAACAATACTGTATCATGAATGACAGTCATAGTAGAATGAGTGAGAGAGGAAGAGTGTCGGTGAGATGTTGTGGTTGGGAGAGAGGGAGGAAGGTGAAATTATGATTTAGGTGGTGATAATAGAGGTGGTGGTGATGGTGGTGATCATGGAACTGGGTTAATCGGCCAATGGGTAGTTAAAACTTGCTTTCATTATATTGGGACTCATTCACAGGATTAACGATCAATGGGGACTTAATGTACCTAAAATGAATTTCAAAGAGACTGAGATTCTAAAATGCTTTACATACAGTATCCGTCTTAAATATAAAACCTGTATCTATACATGTGTGTGAAATTGAGTGTATTTAAAATAATGCTTATATAACTAAAAACCACTGCCCCCCAGCACCTGCTAGATGTTATGTGGTACGAAAAATTCAGTCACTTATCAATTAGCATAAAAAATGTCGTCACCACAGCCACATCCCAATTTGAGGGACAGTTTACGATGAGTCTTAGTCAGACTCAGTCACTATAGAGGCAACAGTCATGCACAAACTCCTCAACTGAAGGACCTTGATAGCTACTTGGCATGCCCATGGGGATGGAATGGAACAACTATACTGAGGCCTTTCCCAACATTATGTGACTTATCTCTCAAGCTTAACACCTCACTATACCTGCATCTGCTGCTTGTAAGTATCTGTTTAATCATGCTGGACATTATTTATTATTTAATTAATTTATTACACCCCAAGGGGTAACAGGCCTACTCACAAGACCATGCGGTCAGACACTAATACATTGGTACTCGTATCTCGCAGGATACGCTATGACTTGTGATATGGAGACAATATTGATATGATTTAAGGACAATGGGAGTTAGCACCCACCAAAGTGTGGGTAGTGTACAGGAATTAAATCTAAATTATTACGAATAAGTAGGTGGGGACATATAGTGGTTCGTGACTCTCCCTGTGGTAGGAGGTCCCTGACAGTGGGACAGTCAAGGCAATAGTGTTGAAGGGTGTTAGTGTTGGGATACTTACAGAGTTTACAGGAAGAGAAGTGCGGGTCATCCCCCACCTCAGGTACTTGCCAGATAGATCTGTTTCCTAACATAATGCAAGTAGAGACAACATTATGTCTGCGAACCAAAAGTCCACGCCATCGATACTTCTGTGGATAAGGAAGAAAGTGATCATAGTGTTGGATGGATATATTTTCAGCCTGTTCACTATCCCTGCGATGGATTGTAAGGAGAAGAGCGTCTGAATGTATTCTCTTTCGGTAGGTCATGCTGGGCTTATATATAGGCCTAAAAGATCCTGATTGGACAACCAAAATTTTGAAAATCAGTTATTGATTAATCTTAATAGAAAGATTTGCAAATATACTTGTCTTTTATTTTATCTTCAGTTAACTATTTTGTTATAATTTCCTGTGGATTTATTTTAATGTTTAAGTAACAAAATTATTAATTGTCTCAAATTTTGAGACAATAATTTTGTTGTTACTTTTTCTTTCAGTACTTGAGTACTTTATTGTAATAATGGGGAGACTACATAGAAATAATAGTATGGGGATTGTAAAGTGAAGACAGTTTTGTAGCGTGGCCGGTTAGTTATTTACCTGTTAATATATTCTTAGGGGAAGTCTTCTAAACACCTACTCTAAGTACAGCTATTTATTATTCACTCAATGACACAGACACATAAATAGAACATTATATTTACATTACTAGACACTGACTCCCGGACACAAACATGAAATGGATACACTTCCCACCGTAAGTAACTCACCCTATGGATAGCTATGACAATGACTCACGTGTGACCTGAGGGAGGCCCAGCGGGTGCTGCTGTACTATGTCTCCAGTGGAAGACTCTGCTAGCTGAGGCTCGGTGCTGGCGAGGGAAGTTTCTTCTGGGGAGGAGCTGTCGGCTCCTTCC